CTGGAAGGGACCTTGGAGGTCTTCTAGTCCAACCCCCTGCTCAAGCAGGGACAGCCTGATCAGGGCTCTGGCTACTGATGGGACTTAGCTGGCTTTAATTTATGTTCTTATTATCCAGCTTCTGCTCCATCACAGCCAGGTAACTCTCACCTGCTCATTCACAACACAGGATAGCTAAACTGGGGTTACACCTGCCCCAGCCTCCTCCAGCTGGGGGGAGGGGGGGAAGCAGCTCCCAACACAGAGCAGCCACCTGCCACCCGAGCCCAGCCAAGCCCTTTCGGCATGGGGACCACTCTCAAGCCCACCCACCTCAACAGAGAGTGAGCCCTCAGCCCTTCTCACTACTGGTGGTCCTGCAGCCCGGGGTCCCCTCTGTGCCCCCTCCCAACCTGCAGGATGGAGCCCCTGGGAGACCCCCCCTGGGAGAGAGGGCTTCATCCACCAGGCCCAAGGGAGGAAGCACTATATTCATGTCCTCCAGAACTGGCGGTCTCCCTCAGACCTCCCGCCCTCTCGTTCCCACTTGGAGCGAAGTGACGGCTTAGCGTTTTATGGCTGCGTTTGTTGAAACGCTGAAACGCATTTCTGACCGGCTTCTATTATTACATTTAGTTTCCCCAAAACACCGTCACGGCTTCCTCAGGAAATCCCCGGTGCTGTGGTTGACGAACCTGTCCCGTTTTTCTGAGACAGACGCATCCCGAAACGTCCTGCAGAAATTCTGCCGGTTCCATTTTGCCCCTCCTGGCCCAGCCGGTCATTCCTACCTTTCGTAGAGACGCTCAAAGTCTTCTCCCCAGACCTCATCCAGACCCGGACATTCGTTGGGACACATCAGGGACCAGTCCTGTTGAAGGAGGGGGGGGGAAAGGTCAGTTCCAAGGGGAGGGGGTCACGAGACCCCCACCCAGGAGAAAGAGGCTCGCTCTAGGGGGGCTTCCAGCTGCAGCCACCAGGCTCCCCCTGCCTTTGAGGAAGAGAGAACAGTGAAGGACCCACATCTGGCTTTGGGTCTTCACGAGCATCGCCGGATGGGAAGCTCAGAGGAACAGCTTCGGCCTGACTTCCCCCCCATAAAGGGTACAGAACCACAGAGCTGGAAGGGACCTTGGAGGTCTTCTAGTCCATCCCCTTGCACAAGTAGGAGACCCTGTACAATGTGAGACCAACGGCTGTCCAGTCTCTTCTTGAAAACCTCCAGGGATGGAGCACCCACAACTCCAGGAGGCAACTTCCGTTCCACTGACTGACTGGTCTCCCTGTCGGGAAATTCCTCCTCATTTCCAGGTTGGGCCAGCTTCCACCCACTGCTCCTGGTCCTGCCTGGTGTGTGTGTGTGTGTGTGTGTGTGTGTGTGTGGGCTGAGAGCGAACGACCAGCCCAGGGTCACCCAGCTGTCTTTCATGCCCTGGCAGGACTGCATTCACCTGGTTTGACCACCTTTTGTCCTGCAGTTGTTAACACCAAGGTCATAAAGCAAACCCATTGTTCACTATGGGGTGTTTTTGCTGCAAGGGTGCAAAACGAAGCCTGGCGACCGCAGGACACTCCAAATGTGAGCAGTTGCCCAGCACCTGACATGCAGTCATGTGGCCACGAGGGAGGAGGAGCCGTCAGGACCTCAGAACTGGACTGGGAGCACTTTGGGGCGGGACCGACTTCGGACGGTCGCTAATCGACCAGTCGTACGTCAAGGACTGCCCGTACGCTCTCCTTCTGCAAATGAACCTTTCTGTGTTAATAACAGCCTTAGATAGAAGTTCAGGAAGGGCAGAGTGTCTGAGCAATTCAAGAGGAGCACAGAAGAACAAGCGTGAGCTGCTCCAGGCCTCAAATACTAGGATTCTGTTTTGCTCTGTGGCCACGGAGGGGCCACCCTTCGCCCAGCCCCCCTGTCCCCCCAGCTGGTCCCACCAAGTGTGGGGGGGGGACTCAGCCGCCAGCCCTGTACCTGGTTGCTCTCCACCCGCTTCATGAAGAGATCCGGGATCCAGAGCGCGTAGAAGAGGTCCCGGGCCCTCTGCTCTTCCTTCCCGGTGTTCTTCTTCAGGTCAAGGAAATCAAAGATGTCCAAGTGCCAGGGCTCCAGGTAGATGGCGAAGGCCCCGGGTCTCTGCCGGAAAGAAAAGACACCACCGCGGTGGAGACCAGCACCAAAACCCCCTTCGGCCCACCTCTGCCCTGGCTGTGCTTCTGGGGGCCCTTTCCAGACCCTCCAGTCCGGTAGCCTTCCGACCCCCCTCAGTTCAGCATAGAGCTGGAAGGGACCTTGGAGGTCTTCTAGTCCAACCCCCTGCTGAAGCAGGGGACCCTCTACCCTTCGAGACAAATGGCTGTCCGATTTCCTCTTAAAAACCTCCAGGGATGGAGCACCCACTTCTAAAGGCAAGCCCTTCCACTGATTGACTGTCCGGACGTTCCTGACAGTGAGAACAATTAACCAGTGGAACTACCTGCCTCCAGAAGCAGTGAATGCTCCAACACTGGAAGTTTTTACGAAGAAACTGGACAGCCATTTGTCCGAAACGGTATAGGGTTTCCTGCCTGAGCAGGGGGTTGGACTAGATGACCAAGGTCCCGTCCAACTTTATTATTGTTGTTGTTGTTATTATTACTACTACTACTATTAAGTTTCCCCTTACTGCTTCTCTCCTTGATCAGTTTCCATCCGTTGCTTCTTGTCCTGCCTTCAGGGGCTTTGGAAAATAGGGTGACCCCCTCCTCTTTGGGGCAGCCCCTCAAATACTGGAAGACTGCTATCCTGTCCCCCCTCGACCTTCTTTTCTCTAGACTAGACATACCCAAATCTTGCAACATTCTTCGTGTGTTTTAGCCTCCAGGCCTTTAATCGTCTTAGTTGCTCTTCTCTCCACTTTGCTGGGAGATCCCTTCATCCCTGCCCCCCCCTTTACAGCAGGGGTCTCCAACCTTGGCCACTTTAAGACTTCAACTCCCAGAATTCCTCAGCTCGTCATGGATAACTAGCATGGCCGGCTGAGGAATGCTGGGAGTTGAAGTCCACACGTCTTAACTGGAGAGCCCTGCTTTAAACTATGCCTGAGATGGTGAATCAACCCTGGGTTTGTCCTTGACCACCCAAGTCCCCACCAGCAGCCTTGGGAGAAGACCCCCTACCTTATTCCCCCCTTGGTCCACGTAGCGAGCCGTGTTGTTGTAGACCCTCAACATGGGGACCAGCCCGTTGGAGTTGCCATTGGTCTGAAAAATTAAAAAGATTGGAGACGGTGAGCTGGACCCATGGAGGCAGAGACCTTTGCTGCTGCTTAGTGAGGGGGACAGGGCCAGCGGCAGTTCCAAGAATCCACTGGTGGGGCCTGCAGGGATTCACGCGGGCTGCCCGCCACAGACGCACCCCGGCGATGTAGCTGCCGGTGGCCCGGATGCAGCTCACGGCCACCCCGATTCCCCCCGCAGACTTGGAGATGAGGGCGCAGTGCTTCAGCGTGTCGTAGATGCCCTCGATGCTGTCGTCCTTCATGCAGAGGAGAAAGCAGCTGGAGGGGAAGAAGAGCGAGAATGGCAGCCTCCGGTACAGCGAGGTCACCTCCAGACCCCTGTGGAGGCCAGCCCCAAGCCTGGGTTTATTTATTTTTCCCCTTCCAGCAAGATGGCTGGGCTGCCAAACCCAAATCTGATTGCTTAGGACTCAGGGGTAGGCAACCTGGGCTCTTTTATGACTGGTGGACTTCAACTCCCAGAATTCCTGAGCCAGCCACGCTGAGGGGAAAGGGAGAGGTTCCAAGCTGAGCCATGCTGGCTCAGGAATTCTGGGAGTTGAAGTCCACCAGTCATGAAGGGGCCAAAGTTCCCCCATTCTGGCTCAGGAATTCTGGGAGTTGAAGTCCACGAGTCATGAAGGGGCCAAAGTTCCCCCATTCTGGCTCAGGAATTCTGGGAGTTGAAGTCCACCAGTCATGAAGGGGCCATAATTTCCTTCATGCTGGCTGAGGAATTCTGGGAGTTGAAGTCCCCAAGTCATGAAGGGGCCATAGTTCTCCCCATGCTGGCTCAGGAATTCTGGGAGTTGAAGTCCACGAGTCATGAAGGGGCCAAGGTTGCCTAACCCTGACTTAGGTCATCTTGGCTTGTTTATACACCAGACATAGGGACAGTGCCTTCCCTCGGGCCATCACTCTGCCGAACCCCCTTATCTCCCAGCTGATAAAATACAGAGACTTCTATGTTTTTGTTTTAATATGTATGTACATTAACCCATTGGACATGGCGGCAGCATCTTTATCCCTTTTATTATTTTTTTGCTTCCTCCACTTTACTGGCTGTACACTTTACTAATTATTATCATCGTATTCTGTTGTTTTCAAGTCCACCCAGAGCTTCTCTACCACAGACAAATTCCTTGCATGCCTAACCACAGTTGGCCCAATAAAGCACGAAGTCTGTTTTCGCAACGAAGGCCTTTCCTAATCAAACTAACTTTGACAAATTTCCCAAGGCCACCATGACAAGTTTATCTTGCCCTTTACAAGGGATTGCAGACTACAAGAGCCCTGTTGTGACACAGGGGTTAACTCTGCGTCCCCACTGCCAGCAGTTCGATCCTGACCGGCTCAAGGTTGACTCAGCCTTCCATCCCTCAGTAAAACGAGGACCCAGATTGTTGGGGGGCAAGAGGCCAAATCTGTAAACCGCCTAGAGAGGGCTGTAAAGCACTGTGAAGCGGGATATAAGTCTAAGGGCGATTGCAGCAGGACCCAAGGCAATTGCTGAAAAAGTCCTTCAGTCTTTCTTCGCTGCTGCCCTCAAGATGCCGGAATTGGACACGGATCCCCAAACCCAGCTACGGCCCCAAGCTGCAGAATGAAGGGCGCTACTAGATGACCTCCAAGGTACCTTCCAACTTTTATTATTATTATATTATTATATTATATTATTATTATTATTATTATTATTATTATTATTATTATTATTATTATTGTTACTATTATTGTTATTACTATTATTACTATTATTACTATTATTACTATTATTACTATATTTATTATTATTGTTGTTATTGTTATTATTACTATTATTATTACTGCCGCACCCACCTGAAGAGCAGCTGGGGGGGAGACTCTATGCCGGAAGCAGCCCCCACTTTCTTATACCAGGGGTCCCCAACGCCTGGTCCGGGGACCAGTACCGGTCCGCAGCATGCCAGCAACCGGTCCGCACAAACAAGCAAAGCCCCATCCGTGGGATGCAGGCAGCACACACAACCATGCCCCCTCTGGTCCGCGGAATAACCTCTCCCCACGGAACTGGTGGTCCCTGGTGCCCCAAAGTTTGGGGACCCCCGTCTTAGACCTTGCAAGTTGCTTGGCTTCTTTGGCATTTCCTCCCCCAATGCTCAGCCAACCGGCCGGCCCGCCAGCCCCCCTAACCCTTTTACCTGGAGAGCTGAGGGCGGTTGGTGCCGGCGTTGAAGAGGGTGGGGGAGGCGTGGGTGAACCACTTCTCGGACAGGAGGTTGTAGGTCTCAATGGCGGCCTCGATGTCGCCCTTGTGGATGCCCACCGAGACCCTCATCAGCATGTGCTGGGGGCGCTCGGCCACTGCAGGCAGAGAAGGCAGGGGAAGGCGCCACTTAGTGGGGGGAGCAGAGAGACGCTGCGGTTGGGGGACGGCTGCGCATTGGGCTAGGTGGGAGAGAGAGACCCCTCCCCACTTACAGGTAGTCCTCAACTTACAGCTGCTTGTTTAGTGACTGTCCAGAGTTACAGGGGAGCCCCCAAAAGGTACTTATGATCCGGTTCCGAAGGACCCTCCCCCCAAATCATTGCCAGCTTTGGAGCCCTTGTGCAAGCAGACCCGATTGACAGCTCTTTGCAGAATCCCCCGACCGCCATTTATGATGCCAGCCATTCAGCTCCCTTCTGGGCTGGGGCAAAAATGCCCTGTAGGGAACGATGGGTTTGCTTAATGACCGTGGCGTTCGCTTAATGACCACGGTGAGTTGTTTAACAACCGCTGCGCACAAACAGATCGTGAAATCGGGTTGGTCACGTGCCGACGCACTTCACAACTCGAATGGGCAGGCCCCCTTATGGCAAGAAGGTGAGGACTAGCGGCATTTCTCCTGATTTGGGTGCCTTTGAGGCCACAGAGAAGAAAACCGATGGCGAAGCTGCTGCAAGGACACAACTCCGCCCCCCCCCAATCAACAAAGACCAGGCCGGAAGACGGAGCGGCTGGGGGGGGGTCACCTGAGCCTCTGGTGCAGCCGGGAGTTCAAGGGCACTTTTGAGCTGCTCAGAGGAGTTGCAGAAGAGACTGGGCACCCAGGAGTTGCAGTGAGGCTGCCCCCTTGGAAGACGCTGAGACTCCCCCAGGGAATAAGGACAAAACGTTCAGGCAGGTCTGCTTCGGGGCGGGGGACCCTTAAGTGGCCCCTGCCTCTGGCATTATCCAGTCCTTGGATTGTTTACTGACTGTTCAAAGTTACAACAGCACTGACAAAACTGACCTACGACCAGTTCCTCACCCTTACGACCATTGTAGCATCCCCCCCAGTTACGTGAATGAAATTTGGGAGCTTGGCTACTGGCATGTATTGACAATGGTTGCAGAATCCCGTGTGTGTGTGTGTGTGTGTGTTAGGGGGAGAAAGGTGACCTTCCCAGCTGGCCTCTGACAGGCAAAGTCAACGGGGGAAGCCAGATCCACTTAACAACTACGTGACTCACTTAACAACCAGATTGATTCTAACGACTGTGGGCAAAAAATAGTCCTGAACTCGTGTGTGATTCATTTAACGAGGCCTTGCTTAGCGACAGAAACCCTGGCCCCGGTTGTCCTAAGTCAAGGACTACCTTCATGAGGGATTCCTCCACCAGGTTGGGGGGAGAGCTGGGTTACTCCCCCTTTTCAGAAAATTTCAGACGCTCGAGAGCCCCCCTTTCAAATGTTATTAAAAGGCAGAAAGTTTCGTGAATTGCGGTTCAGATGTGTCAAGGGGTTAACTCGTGTAGGATTTAAACTGGGGGGAGTAAGTGGGGAAGAAGGTGGGTCGCCCATGAGGGTCCCACCGGAGGTCACTCCCCACGACCTAATCAAACAACAATTCCTGGTGTGTTGAAAGCCCACCCTGTTTGTTGAGACCTCCTGGAACGGCTGGAAACCTTTTGAGGAACGCCAGATCAACCATTCCTCGCCTGATGGTTTTCTGGAAGAGCCACTTTGATCTCAGGCAGTTCCAAAGGTGCAGCCCCCCCCTGATTGTTTTGGCCAAGTTTTATCAAAAATTAAAAAAAGAACCATTGTACAAAGAATTGAGCACACAGCACAAACCTTTAGAATTAATTTTCAGAAGATAGGAACGCTCCAGAGTCTGTAAGATTAAAAAAAAAAATCAGTGCCACCAAGGGACAATAAAATAATACCATCTTTGATCACCAACAACTTACTTTAAATCTATTGCCAGCCCCCAAAGGTGCTTGCAATAACTGCTTCACATCCTCCTTCCCCCCCCCAGCACCCGCTCCCATGGTCTGGAACCAGCAGAGCGCAACAGGACGAGGGTCCAAAGCTTTGCTTGGGCACCTGGCAGCCCCCGGCCTCAGCCTAGAAAAAGCCCTTTCTGGGTGCATTTCCTCAACTGTCCCCAAAAAGCCATCCCAGAAGTAAAACCAGGCTTATAAATCCTTGTTTTCTGGCAAGGAGGGACTGCTGCACGTGTGCTTGTGTGAACTGCCCTGTTGGCTGCTACACCAACGGTTGTGACAACTGGGACCATCAATTTCAATTCTACTGTACTTAAGCTGTCAAGAATGATCAGCCTCCTGGCTGTGGAAAGAAGAAAGATAAAAGAAAGGAGGAGGGAGGGAGGGAGGGAGGGAGGAAGAAAGGAAGGAAGGAAGGAAGGAAAGGCTTTAAATACGAGGAAAAGCTTCCTGATAATAATAATAAAGTTGGGAGGGACCTTGGAGGCCATCTAGTCCAGCCCCCTGCTCAGGCAGGAAACCCTATACCATTTCAGACAAATGGCTGTCCAGTCTCTTCTTAAAAACTTCCCGTGTTGGAGCATTCTCCGCCTCTGGAGGCAGGTGGTTCCACTGGTTAATTGTCCTCACTGTCAGGAAGTTTCTCCTTAGTTCCAGGTTGCTTCTCTCCTTGATTAGTTTCCATCCGTTGCTTCTTCTCCTGCCTTCAGGCGCTTTGGAGAAGAGCTTGACTCCCTCTTCTTCGGGGCAGCCCCTGAGATACTGGAACGCTGCTATCCTGTCCCCCCTCGTCCTTCTCTCCATTAAACCAGACAGACCCAATTCCAGCAACCGTTCCTTGTATGTTTTAGCCTCCAGTGCCCTGATCCTCTTTCTTGCTCTTCTCTGCACTCTTTCTAGAGTCTCAGCATCTTTTTTACATCGTGGTGACCAAAACTGGATGCAGGATTCCAAGTGTGGCCTTAGCAAGGCCTTCACGTGATCGTGATTCTATCCCTCTGTTAATGCAGCCTAGCCCTGTTCCCCTCCTTGAGTTATTTGCGAACGTTAACGGAAGGCAGGATACAAGTAAAATAAACAGATAAACCTCCGCTTTACCTTAAAGCCAAAGTAGTTGTAGGAAAAATCCCGATCGTAGATTATTGCCGAGTTCAGTCGCTGGGGGGGGAGGAAAAAAAAGCAGGACATGAGATTCAGCATCCAGGCTGTCCGGCCCTCAACCAGCCTGAGCTCAAATATGCAGCCATCTTATTCATAGATACGCTAAAACTCAAGCAGCCGTGTCGGGGGACTCTGGTCTGACTTCGGGGAGAGTTCTGAGTGGCCAAGAGCTTTTGATCATCTCTGAGTGACAGAAGGCCTCCTGGCTCTGAGGCTGTCAGAGCCCCGGGCAGGAGTTACTGCCAAGCCTATGCCAGCCAATGAGAAGACCCACTGCCTTAAGGAACCCAGAGCCTGTCCACTGCCAGGCCTGGACACAGGTCCTGGTGAGAAGAGCACCACGCTGTGGTCCCGACCCTGGGGACAAATGTAGGAATCACAAAACAGAGGCAGCTTGTAATGGCCCAACTGGCACTCGTGCACACCTCTCCGCAAAGGCAGGCTTGTGCCAACCCCGAAGACCATGGCAAGATTCAGACTGTGCCATCTCAAGACTGGAATCCCCAGGACCAGAATCTGTTTCTCCAATAGAAACAAATATTTGTTGGATTGAAGGCTCCTCGGTGCTCTCTGAGCTTGGCTGTTTTCTTACAGGTATTTTCAGGAACATCATCGGTGCTAGAAGGGGTGTGTGTCTCTCAACAGCCTAATCAAGGAACCACCAAGAACATTCCCACCCATACTGACAGGGCAACCCCCACTTTCTGGCACTGGTGTTCCCTAGTTGGGTCATGAAACGTCTGCCAAGAAAACCACCCAGCTCAGAGAGCACCAAAGACCCCACAGTCCTCTCCTTCTCTCCTTCCTTCTTTCCTCTTCTCCTTTCCACTCCCTTCTAGCACTGATGCTGTTCCCCAGTTGGGTCATGAAACGTCTGCAAGAAAACCACCCAGCTCAGAGGGCACCAAGGACCTCACAGTCCTCCTCCTTCTCTCCTTCCTTCCTTCCTTCCTTCCTTCCTTCCTTCCTTCCTTCCTTCCTTCCTTCCTTCCTTCCTTCCTTCCTTCCTTTTCTCCTTTCCACTCCCTTCTAGCACTGATGCTGTTCTCTAGTTGGGTCATGAAATGTCTGCAAGAAAACCACCCAGCTCAGAGAGCATCAAAGACTCCACAGTCCTCCTCCCCCTCCTCCTCTCCACAACCCCCTCCATTTTAGCACTGATGATGTTACCTCGTTGGGTCATGAAACGTCTGCAGGAAAACCACCCAGCTCAGAGACCACCAAGGACCCCCCTTTTTCTCCATCTGCCCAAAATATGCCATATTCAATCGGTACTTACATCTTTGTTGGCTTGTACAATGTCCAGGGTTTCCTTGGAGATCATGGGAGAATGCTTGCTGTTGTGTGGGTTCACGTAGTTGTAGAGGTCTTCCATCACATCTGGAAAGCAACAAAGGCACAACAGATCACAGCGGGGCCATATTAGCCGTGGCAGAAGTAATGCACAGCTGTAGGGCAGTCCAGAGGCTACTTAGTCATCCATCTGCTCAGAGCCAATCAGTGTTCAGACGAATTCACGAATACAGGTAGTCCTCAAGTTACGTTTGGTTCCTTAGCAACCATTCAAAATCACATCAAGGAGCTAGGACAATTTTCCGCCAGCTTCCTTATCCAACAAGGAAGCCTTCTCAGTGGTGGCACCGGTCAGGCTACAACAGCCCACCTGATCCCAGATTCTGGCAGGTGGGCAGGCTGTTTCATTGCAGCCTGCCTCTTATTAACTTGATGCCTCTTAAGAACATCTTAAACCAAGGGTCTCCAACCTTGGCCACTTTAAGACTTGTGGACTTCAACTCCCAGAATTCCTCAGCCAGCAAAGCTGGCTGAGGAATTCTGGGAGTTGAAGTCCACAAGTCTTAAAGTGGCCAAGGTTGGAGACCTCTGTCTTAAACAAACTATTAATCTTTGCATCAGTTATTATTTTATTGTACATTTATACTTTTAGCCAGGAGTCTTCAAACTTGGCCCTTTTAGGACTTGTGGACTTCAACTCCCAGGATTCCTCAGCCAGGCACACAGATGAGTGATATTAACATTCACCCACCAGCCGCTGTCTGCCTCTCCTGTGTGTCCCCACCTCTCCCTGCAGACACCCACCGCTGAAGACTTTCTTCGTTTCTTTGTGCAGATTGGAGACAGCGATCCGTGCAGCCAGGATGGCGTAGTCGGGGTACTTGGTGGTGAGAGTGGCCGCCGTCTCGGCCGCCAGCGTGTCCAGTTCGACCGTGGTCACCCCGCTGTAGAGGCCCTGGATCACCTTCATGGTGATTTGAGCCTGGCCAACAAAAAAGACCTCTAAATCGTGGCAAATTGATTTCTTAATATATAGCCTTTTTAGGGCCTACAAAGTCTTCCTCTTGTGGCCCTCCTGAAACATAGTCCAGTGATCGACTTACAATTATTCATTTAGTGACCATTCTAAATGTACTTTAAAAAGTGACTTACAACCGACTATTGAACTTAACCACCATTGCCACATCCCCAGGGTCACATGATCAATATTCATCTATCTATCTACCTTCCTATCTATCTACTTACTTCTCTACCTATCTATCATCCATTTCTCTATCTATATCTCTATTGTTTATTTGCCTATCTATTTTTCTATCCACCTATTTCTATTTCTCTATTCACCTATTTCTATTTCTCTATTTGCCTATCTCTATCTATCTATCTATCTATCTATCTATCTATCTATCTATCTATCTCTATCATTTATTTGTCTATGTGTTTCTCTATCCACCTATTTCTATTTCTCTATTTCCCTATTTCCCTATTTATCTATCTATCTATCTATCTATCTATCATCTATCTATCTATCTATCTATCTATCTATCTATCTATCTATCTATCTATCTATCTCTATCTATCTATCTATCTATCTATCATTTATTTGTCTATTTCTCTATCCACCTATTTCTATTTCTCTATTTCTCTATCTATCTATCTCTATCATTTATTTGTCTATGTATTTCTCTATCCACCTATTTCTATTTCTCTATCATCTATCTATCCATCCATCCATCCATCCATCCATCCATCCATCCATCCATCCATCATCTATACTCACCTAACTCTATCTCTCTATCTCTATCCGTCTCTCTGTGTCTATCTGTCCATCTGTCTGTCTGTCTTTCTGTATCTATCCATCCATCCATCCATCTATCAAAATATGGGTTTTTTATGTTGTGGAATTTTAATGTTGTGAGCTGCCCAGACTACCTGTGTCTGAGTTGGGCGGCCATATAAAATAAATTTTGAAAAAGGTTGAGTAGTGATTAAGGGCATGAGGCAATGAGGTGTATCCTGTGTGAAGGGGATGGTTTCACACCTATAAGTGTACCCTTCCTCCCCTTACACACACACACAGAGATCCAAGCCATCCCCAAGAACAGATTTCCCTCTAAATAAGAAATAATCAGACAGACCCTGGTGGCAAACTAACCCCCTTGTCTCAGCATTATTCATACCAAGGCTCTATCTAGGATAAACCTAGGATAGGGAAACCTTTTGGGGGGGGGTCCTTTTCCTATTTCTTATGCCACCCACGCCCCTGTCAAAGAGGTCCAGGGCTGCTTCCCTACCCAGCCGAGCAGCCCACCCCCATGGGCACCAGCCTCTTCCCCGCAGGGCCGGGCAGTTCTCGGACGGGGAGGCCGAAGGAGACTTACGGGGTCCACAAAATCCACGTTGAGGCCGTAGCAGAGCTTCTGGATGCGGGAGGTGATCTTGTCGAACATGACCCGCTCGTGGCGGCCATCTGGGGGGAGAGAGTGGGGGGCAAAGAGACAGGTGAGAAAGAGAGGTTAGGCAGAAAAGCAGTGGGAGGGGGGCCGCAGGACCCCCAACTCTGGCCCCTGGTTCAGAATGGCTGGGAGGGGGGCCACACTCCTATCCCCCCTCCTGCTCTTTGGAGACAGGCTGCTGCCCCCCCCCCTGAAGACCAGCAGGCCTGGATGGGCCCCCTCCCATCTCCAGCCCTCCCCCCCACCTGAAGCACCTCGACCCTGCTGGGCAGGCCGAAGTCCGTCTGGGCGAGCCCCGCCCTCCCCCAGGAGCTTCGGGGAGGGGGGAGGGTTGCACGAGGGAGGGAGGGGCAGCCCCCCCCAATTCGGGGGAGGGTTCCAGGCCTGGGGGGGCGCCAGAGGGGCTGTGGGGGGGCTGCAGGCCTGACTTTGGGGGCGGAAGGGGGGGAGAGAAGGCTGGGGGGAGGGGGAGAAAGAAAGACACCCCCCCCAGATATTGCCAGGCATGGGGGGCCTCCCCCCTTCCTCCCCCCCCGCCTTAAGAGAACCAATAAGGGAGCCCCGCTACCCCCCCTCCCCGAAGTCTGGGATTGGGAGGCCGGGACCCCCAACCCAGGGGACCCGCTCGGGGACTACAAAGCCCATCGTCCTCCAACCAGCGAGGGAGGAAGGCGGCCGCCTGCCCCCCCCCAATGCCCGGGACCGTCGAATGAGGGGCGGCGTCCGCGGGGGAAGGCGGGGAGGCTGCCCACCTCGCTTAACGACGTGCATGGTGCCCGGCCGGACGAGGAGCTCCGCCGCCGCCGCCGCTGCCGCCTTTGCCGATCGCCCGCCAGCCGCTTTCCCGCCAGCGCCGCAGCCCCGCCCCGAGCGACGCCGGCGACGCCATCTTGGCCGCGGGCCCGGCCGCCCAACAGCCGCGCTTGCCCGGCACAAAGATGGCGGCTAGCCGGGAAGGTGGGGGGGTCTAACCTCCGGACTCGCGCGTGCGCAGAGCCGGGCTACGAAGCCCGGCGGGGAAGGCGGGAAAGAGGCGCCCCCGCCCTGCCGCTTCTCCTAGAGCGCGGCGCAACAGTTCCGCGACAGCGCCACCTGCAGACCGTCTCCGGCAAAGCCCCGACCAGTTTCGCCGGGCTGCTTTCTCCCGCCGCTGCCGGGGGGGGGGGGGAGCCCCAAAACTCAGCCGGGCTCCCGCGGAGGGGGGGTGCACCCCAGTTGCGTCCGAGCAGCCCTGAACGCGGCTCCCCCCCCCTTCAGGATGCGAAGTGCTGCTGGCAGAGCCTCTTTACGGTCCCTCCGCTGCCCTGCCCACCATCCTAACCTCTGGACGCATCCCGTGCAAGGTCTCCGAGGGCAGCTCAGACGGGGGGGCCGGCGCAACACCCAGCGATGCAGCCACGGAGGAAGCCCCCCCCACGAGAACAAGGGAAAGCTATCGGCAGCCGAGACAGAGCAGAGAGTGGGGGGCTGTGGTCGGGTGGGGGGTCCCTCCAGAGAAAGGGCTCCAGCCTCAATCGGGATAGAGCAGCGAGGGACCTCGGGGGTCTCCTAGCCCAACCCCCACTGAGCCGTGCCCACCACCCCTGCCCGGGTGGCTGCATTCTGGGGGGCAGCCCCACAGGCAGGGGCAGGGTAATGGACCCGCTGAGAGGCAGGCCTGAGCCCTCATGGGCAGAGTCCCACCAGGGCAGAAAGAGGGGGCACTGATGCCCAAGACGCAGCTAAGCCAAGCTGCCCCTGCCGGGGCTGCCACCTGCTCCTTCTGCAGGAGCTGTGAGACCCCCCCCCAGGCTGCTCCCCAAATCTGAGTAGAGGTCATGCCGTTTCAAAGGATCGCCCCAACTTTCCCACTGCCTCAGAGGGAGTAAAGCTTTGTTCTCTCGCCTTGCATGTTCTAGGGACCCTTTTCTTGCCCCCCATCTCTGCCCCACCCCACCCCAAACAAGAGAAGCCCAGGGGGGCTGCTTCAGCCCTTCCCTACCGTTTGGGGGGGCCCTCTGATCCACGACCCGGTTCTCTCAATTCTCTGGGGTTCCCCCGTGAGTGGTCTCTGACCGTATTCAACTCCTAGTACGGACTGCACAACCCCCCCCCCCTTCCCAGGGACTACGAGAGACTCGAACCGACAAAGAGATGTAGTCCCGAAAAGTTGGAAAAGTGAGTAACATGGTGAAAATCCTATACCGTTATAGACTCATGGACTAATCGCCTAGCAAGGTGTCAGGAACTTGATGACCAAAAATAAAAAAGGAAAAAAGTGATAAGTAAAGGTAGTCCTCGACTTACAACAGTTCGCTTAGTGACTGTTCGAAGTTACAATGGCACTGAAAAAAGTGCCCCCCCAAGCCACAGCCAAGCAAGACACCTGCCTGCCCGCCCGGCCGCGCTCTTCCTCCTGTCCGAGGTTTTCATTGTTGTGAGCATTTCTGTTGAGGATTGGCAGTGGGGGTGGGGTGGGGGGGTGTTTGGTTTTTATTCCCCCCGTCTGCTGGGTGGTTGCAGCAGGTTTTGGTCACTTCACATGACCCTGGGACACTGTGACCGTCGTAAATATGAATCGGTTGCCAAGCATCTGAATGTAAATCACAAGACCCTGGAGAGTCTGCAACATTCCAGCTGATCGGCGCTTCTTCTGGGCTCAGCGGAAGCGCCAGGATCAGTGCTGCTTTCCAGCTGGATCCTGGCGCTGATCCTGGCGCTTCCGCTGAGCCCTGACAGCCCCGAAGTGCCGATCAGCTGGAAAGCGGCACTGATCCTGGCGCTTCCGCTGAGCCCGGACAGCCCTGCAGCTCCAGCCGTCTCTCGCTCAGGCTTGTGCGGTGCTGCCACCGGTTCAGCTCATTCCCCTCCCCCGCTACTCCTTTTCTAGGATGGTTGCGTACCACCTGCCAGGTGCCAATGGACCACAGGTGGCACCCGTAGCCCTGGTTGACTACCCCTGCTCTACATTATCGGGGCTGGAAGGGAGGGGGGTTTGCGGAGAGGAGGAGGAGGAGTGGTGGGGGGAGGAGGACTGTGGGAGTCCCTGGTGTTCTCTGAGCTTCTGTTCTCCCAGACGTTTCATTAGGTAGCTCGGTAACACCATCAGTGCTAGAAGGCGGGAGGGTCTGCTCTCTGTTCATGCACAAGTGACTTGTCAGGTCAGTGTAGGGGGACGGTTGGGTTGTTTTCTCCTCGGTGGTTCCTGGATGAGGCTCTGGGGTTAGGAGGGGACACGTTAAGTAAATCACGTCTGAAGCTCCTGTCCGGTCTTCTGCAGCAAAAACCCCCCTCCTCCGTGGGTCTGGGGGCTGCAGAACCCCTCCCAGGGCAGCCAAGACCCCCTGCGCCCACGTGCCCCCCCCCAGAAGCGGCTCTCCTGCCCCGAGCGGCGCTTCAGGCCGAGCGGCGATCCCTCCAAAGCCCCCCGGGGTGGATCTCCCCCTCGTCTCGGGCCCGATCCACGCATCTCCGCCCCGACGTGGGAACCGGCCTGGGAGATCCGGGGCGCGCCTGGCAGTCCCCCGCGGGGGGGGGAGGCGAGGGGCGCGGGCGGCTTCGGGGGCGCCTCCCGCGGGCGGGGCGGGCCAGGTGAGCGGCGGGCGCGGCCAGGTGCGTTGCCGGCCGGCCTACCTGGCCCCGCCTCGCCCGCCTGGCTGAGCGGCCGGAACTCCAGCGAGGCGTCGGTGCCCGATGGAGCCTCCGCCGCCTCCTCCAACTCCTCCTGCGGCTGCTGCTGCTCCGGCCGCCCGTCCGGTGAGTTGCTCCCGGCCGCCCGGCAGGGAAGCCTGAGAAGGCTGGGGGGGGGAGAGGAGCGGGGGGGGGTCCGCCCTGGGCCTACCCAGCAGGGAGGTTGTGGGGTCAGCTCGGCGGCGGCCCGGTCCTTCCTCCTGCGACGTCGGTCCCCGGGGAGCCCGGAGCCCCCTGCCCGGAGACCCCCGGCCGTCGAGGCGGCTATTCCGGGCCGGCCGGCTGGCCAAGGAGAGCCGGGCTGGGCGCGGCGCTGCAGGGAGGGGAGCCGCCCGGTCGGGTGCTGGGCAGGTGGATCCCGCGCTGCAAGGAGACGCCCGGCCTGGTTGTGGGAAGGCAGCCGCGGCTGAGCCGGTTGCTCCGACGGGCCCCGCTGCGAGAAGGGAGGGGAGGAAAGTTTGCCGCTTCCCCCCTCCTCCTCCTCCCCCCCACCTGGTATCGCCCCCAAATTCAAACTGGGGTGTCCAACTACAGGACTCGCTCTCTGGACTGCCCGGCCGGAGAAATCGGCTCCTTTTTTAAAGCCGGGGTTGGACTAGATGACCTCCGGGGGTCCCTTCCGACTCTTGTTCTGTAATTCTGGAGTTTTTAAAAGACGGCAAGTGCTCTTTTTCAGCGAGGGGGGCCAGGACAGCGTCTCCCGCTTGGGAGGGCTCCGGGCAATGACCTTTCCGAGGTCGTCGTCCAGGCGTGTCCAGCCCAGGGCCGGCAGGGCTAGTTGGACGGCCAGCCCCACAAGACTGCACACTTTTAACATGATTGTGTGATTTATATACGTTTACTATATTATATAATATGTGGACAAAACAGCTCCTCTTCACTCAACGTGTCCCAGGCAAGCCGAAAGGTTGGACGCCGTAATGCACGTATTTTACTTTGGTTATTAATTTTGCTTTTTGCCTTTTTTTTCTTTTAAGAAGAGGGAGGTTCAATCCCCGCCAGAGACGCACACTTTTTTTCTTCCGCCCCAAATCAAAACTGGGACCCATGGGCCAAGGAATGGGGTTACTGGGGGGGGGACTTCCCCAGGACCACGGGGGGTGGGGGTGGGCTGAGACCAAGTGCAGGGTGAGGGGCTGCTTTGTCCCCCCCCCCCGCCTGGAGTTTCTGCAGCTGCATTCAAAGCCATCCAGGATGCAACCCCTTTAGAGGAAGGGGCTTCTGCTCTTCAGGGTTTTAAAATACAGGCAGTCCTCCACTTACGACCACTGTGGAGCCCAACATTTCTGTTGCTAAACAAGACACTTGTTAAGTAAGCTTTGCCCCATTTTGCAACCTTTGAATCACTCCAGCTGTTCAGTTAGCAACACGGTCGTGAAATGAATCCCGCTTCCCTCCTTGACTTTGCTTGTCGAAGGTCACAGAAAGGGGATCATGTGACACCCCCCCCCGGGACACGGCAGCCGTCATAAGCGTGAGTCAGTTGCCAAACATGCCCCACACATCTTAATAAATTGGCCAAATTTGAAATCTACTGCTCTAGAGCAGCATTTCCAAATGGGTGCCCAGCAGATGTGTTTAGATTAGCAGTCCCAAGATAGAGTTGCAATACTGAATGGAGACAAATTTGTCAAAGTTTAGTTGCTTCTCTTTTTTTTTTTTTTTTTTTTTTGCAAATCTTGCAAAATTCAGTTTTGGGGAAAAAAGTGTACAAAAAAAGAGAGAAAATTTTGCTCACAATTGGGTGCATGATTGCTACATGTTGCTCCAAATATATATATATATATATATATATATAATTATTTAATTGTCATTTTGTCCGACTGATCCAGGAGGGTCTCTAATGGGGAGAGGGGATCCTTGTGGAATCCTTCTCTTGCCCGCAAGCCCATTCGGAGGTGCCGCGGATGTGCGGCCCCTCGGGGGTCTCCCTCCCTCCTGCACCAGCCACAACCTGGGGGTCCCATCCTGCCTCAGGCCAGGCATGGGGGGGGTGAAGCCCCTCGGTTTGGGGTCAGGGCCAATCGAAGCACCGCAAGGCCTGGCCTGTGGGGAAAGGATGTGAGAGTTCTTGGGGTTCTCCTGACAGACAGTCCTCGACTTACAACATTCGTTTAGTGACTGGTCAAGGTTACGAAGGCACCCAAAAAGTGATTTACGACTGGTCCTCACACTTACGACCATTGCAGCACACACACACACACAGGGTTACGTGATCAAAATTCGGGCGCTTGGCAACTGATTCATATTTATGACGGTCGCAGCGTCCTGGGAGGGGGGAAGTCACATGATCCCCATTTGCAACCTTCCCAGCAAGCAAACTCAACGAAGAATCCAGATTCACTTAAGAACCGTGTTACTAACTTAACTGCAGTGATTCACTTAACAACTGTGGCAAGAAAGGTCGTAAAATGGGGGCCAAACTCAGTGAACGACTGTCTCGCTTGGCAACAGAAAGGTTGGGGTCCATTGTGGTCGTAAGTCGAGGACAGACACCCCCCGTGCTGGAATTTCAGGAGGAAAGGGCCAAAACGGAGGACGACTCCTGTGCTCGCCTGGGGCGTTTATCCCTCCTGCTGGCTGGACAGGCCCAGCCGGTCAGGCGGGGTCCCCTGAGCCCTCCAGGCGGGGAGAAAACCGGGAGGGCCAACCTGGGCCACGCCGGGCAGTCGGGCCCTGAGGGAAGCCTCGCCCTGAGGTGCTCCGGAGGAGCTGGTGGGTGGCTGACCTTGGGAACGGCCGGGCTCCTGCCGATTCTGGAGGCACCAAACCCTCAGCCACCTTGGTGCAGGGGTGAAGGCGCCCTGGCTGGAAACCAGGATTGCTTCTCATGATGGTTCTCAGCCTGGTTCCAGCTCCTCCTTGGGCCCCAAGCCAGCAAGGTGACCTGGGGCCGGCCCCTCCCTCTCAGCCCTGGGAAGAAGGCAAGGGGCTCGGGGAAGAGTTGACGACGCGTCCCCGAGCAGAGGAGGTAAAGGTCCCGAGTCGCGAGTGAGTTTCTGGGCGATTTGGTCCCAACCCGTTGAAGTCGGGGAACGTCTCTACGCACCGAAAGTTGAGGGTCTTAAGGGGCGTCGGCCGGTTACCGTCAACACGAGGACTGGTAGAAAGAGGAGGCCAGAGGAAGCCACGCAGGGCGGAGTCGCCCAGCTGAATGGGGCTGGCCTGGAGGGGTTCCGCCTGCCGGCCACCGTCCTGCCCCAGACGCAGCCGTCTCTCCTGGCGCAGGGTGCGACCCCGGCCCCTGAGCCCCCCCAGCCCCGGGAGACGTGGGGAGGGAAGTACGAATTCCTGCTCTCCTGCCTGGGATACTGCGTGGGGCTGGGGAACGTCTGGCGGTTCCCGTATCTCTGCTATCGCAACGGAGGCGGTGAGTGGACGTCCCATCTTCTTCCGGCCTTGGTGCTCCTAGCAGGGCCCAGAGGGCAACCTGGTGCAAGGAAACAAAAACACCCAAAACTTTCATTTCTTTTCCACCTGCTCTGAATTTGCCCAGCAAGCACGTTGACCTTAACTCTTCCCTCTGGGTGAATATTAATGTGGATTGTTCCGTTTCCTTCCTGTGGCCACACAGAACTTAAAGCCTCTCTTAGTTTTCATTAAAGCGAGACATACTCCACCTCAAATTATTAGTATTTTGCTTTGAACTTTGATGGTGGTGCTTCTTGCTCTGCTGCTGCTTTTCTTATCATCACTGTGGGCCCTGAGCAGGTGTGGGTGACACAGGCATCCTTGTCTCATTGTGCCCCTTCACAACGGCTGTGTTCCTCCAAACTCTGTTCTGAAGAGAAGCTAATAAAGGAGAATATTAATAATAATAATAATGATGATGATGATGATGATGATGATGATGATGATGATGATGATGATGTTGGAAGGGACCTTGGAGGTCATCTAGTCCAACCCCCTGCTCAGGCAGGTAACCCTATAGTACCATTTCAGACAAATGGCTGTCCAGTCTCTTCTTAAAAACTTCCAGTGTTGGAGCATTCACCGCTTCTGGAGGCAGGTGGTTCCACTGGCTAATTGTTCCGACTGTCAGGAAGTTTCTCCTTAGTTCTAGGTTGCTTCTCTCCTTGATGAGTTTCATTATTTAGTTTTATTCATTAGTTTTGTAGCTTGGGCTTGAAATGAGGGGTCCTTGATGCTCTCTGAGCTGGGTGGTTTTCTTGCAGACGTTTCATGACCCAACTAGGGAACGTCATCAGTTCTACGACGAGTGCTGTTGATGTCACCTGGTTTGGGTAATGAAACGTCTGCAAGAAAACCACCCAGCTCACAGGGCACCATCAGTAAGAGAAGCTTCTTGTTCTTCAGAAGATTGGATGTCTGGACCCCTTTCTCCTTAATGCATTCGACATTGGGGCAGGATCCACACGGTCAAAGCATGGCTGGCGTTGTAAAGCTGGAGTAAAACTGCTCCTTGCATGCCCTCCCTCCCTCCCTCCCTCCCCTTGAGCTACCTGACCTTAATCATCCGATCTCCTGTCCTTTCCTTGATTTCTCTCCTTTCTCCCTGTGAAAGGCTCTGTCGTTCTTTGTGGGCTGTTAAGTTGAAATTGCGTGTGTGAGCAATTAATGCCCATTCGGTAGCATCTCCCTTTTTCTGCATAGGCCTACATAACCATCCTTCCCTGTCTAGGGACACCCACCCAACCCCCCTTTATCGCTTACACCAGGGGTAGGCGACCTTGGCTCTTTTATGACTTGTGGACTTCAACTCCCAGAATTCCTGAGCCAGCATGGGGGAACGATGGCCCCTTCATGACTCGTGGACTTCAACTCCCAGAATTCCTCAGCCAGCATGAGGGAACTATGGCCCCTTTTTGACTGGTGGACTTCAACTCCCAGAATTCCTGAGCAGCCATGCTGAGGGGAAACGGAGAGGTTTCCAAGCTGAGCCAGGCTGGCTCAGGAATTCTGGGAGTTGAAGTCCACCAGTCATAAAAGAGCCAAGGTGGCCTACTCCTGGTTCACTCAGTTGCCCGGAGAATGGGGTCAACAACAGGGCCTTTCCTATGCATCCCAATAGGGGGCGCTGTGGCACTGAGCAATCACCCAGGAGCAAAATCCACTTTGGAGAAGGAGAAGATCCAGATAGGGACCAAAGTGCCAAAACTCTTTTAGACCAGGGACCTCCAAAGTTGGCAACTTGAAGACTTGTAGGTGTCAGCTCCCAGAATTCCCCACCCAGCCATTTCACACCTTGATGTCTATCATTATTCTCCCACCCCCTTCCCCCAAAAGTCCACCTAGAGAGGGGCTCTTAAGCCGAATCGTGGGAACCACTCATGAAATGATGGGAAATCACGGAAGCGATTCCATCCTTGTTGAGATTAAGTGGTGAGGGTCACGGTGAACTCACCCTAGCGTGGAGGATCCATGTTGGTCCTGATGGATCAGGAGGTCTTCCCTCCTGGCTGGGCCCTCCCTGTTGATCCCTGGTTCCAGGTGGCTTTCCTCAAGGCCTCATTGCCACAAGCACCAAAGTTTCAACCATTTACCTCCGGGCTCCTTCTAACATGAGTGGGAATCCGTTCTCATGGGGGTGCCGAGTTGAGTTAGTCCAGCGCCAGTGGATTTGTGTGAGGAGGAGGAGGAGGAGGACTGTAGGGTCCTTGGTTCTTTCTGAGCTTGAATTGTGGGGTCCTTGGTGCTCTCTGGTGGCTTTCTTGCAGACATTTCATGACCCAGCTAGGTAGCATCATCCGTGCTGGAAGAGGAGGAGGAGGAGGAGGAGGAGGAGGAGAACTGTAAGGTCCTTGGTTCTTTCTGAGCTTGAATTGTGGGGTCCTTGGTGCTCTCTGAGCTGGGTGGCTTTCTTGCAGACATTTCATGACCCAGCTAGGTAGCATCATCCGTGCTGGAGGAGGAGGAGGAGGAGGATTGCTGGTGGTGTATATGAAGGGCCACACCTGCGCTGCCTTCCCTTCTCAGGGGTGTTTCTGATTCCCTACACCATCATGCTGGTCTTCACGGGCCTGCCTCTCTTCCTGATGGAGCTCAGCCTTGGCCAATACGGGGCCACCGGACCCCTCAGCGTCTGGAAGTGCTGCCCCCTTTTGAAAGGTAAGCTCCCTGGCCTCCTTTGGGCCCCCCCCGGAGCAGCCGGGCCAGGACGCCACCCAGCCCCCAAGGGGGGGACCCCCCCGTCCACGTGGGTTCTCCAGGGAGTGGGAGGGGCCCAGATGGAGGCTGGAAAGGAGAGGGACCCCAAGGGTCTCATTTTGCGCTGGGGAGGAGCCCCTCTTGCTGTGACTTGCAAGCGGGAGACCCCAACTCAGCTCGCCGGCCCCCAGGTGCTTGTGGGGGAGCTCCGGGGGCCCTGGGCGGCTTCTGGGGAGGGGGGCCCATCAGCAACCCGTGCTCTGCTGCTGGGGCTCAAAGAAACGCCCTCCGCCCTGCTGGGGGGGGCCTCCCCCACTGGGGAAGGGGAGCCGTGGGGCCCGGCTGGTCGACGTGCCCCACACCCTCCGCAGGGATCGGGGTCGGCATGCTGGTGGTCGCCTCGCTGGTCTCCCTCTACTACAACGTGATCATTGCCTGGACCTTCTACTACCTCAGCCAGTCCTTCCAGAGCCCCCTGCCCTGGTCCTGCGACGCCCCGCACAACCGGGCCCTCTGCCGGTCTCAGGTACTGAGGGGGGGGTCCGGTGTGGGGAGGAAGGGCAGCAGGGGCAGCTCTTGGGGTTCTACAGGCCGGACCCCCTCTTTGGCCGAGCAGAGGAGAGGAGCCCGCCCCTGCACTGCCTGCCCCACCAGGAGGGTCTCTTGCGTTTCAGAACGGGTCTTTGGCGAGGAGCCCCCCGGCCAGCCCCAGCGAGGTCTTCTGGAAGTGAGTCTCCTGGGGGGGGAGTTGGGGGCACGTCGGGGAGGGACCGGGACACGCCTCCCTCTCTTTGGGGGGGCTCAGCCCGGGAATGGGGAGCCTCAGCCCAGCCTCTTCTGGTCCAGCGTGAAGGAGAGACCCCGCCTAGAACCGAGAGGGATTTCCTGAGGGTGGAAGTTTTGGAGAAGAGTCTGGACAGCCATTGGTCTGCTTGAAGAGGGGGCGGGACTAGAACAGGGGTCCCCAACCTTGGCCCCTTTAAGACCGGGGGACTTCAACTCCCAGAATTCCCCAGCCAGCATAGCTGGCTGGGGAATTCTGGGAGTTGAAGTCCACCAGTCTTAAAGGGGCCAAGGTTGGGGACCCCTGGACTAGAAGACCTCCAAGGTCCCTCCCAGCTCTGTGATTCTGCTAATCTTCTGTTGGACTTCCTGCTTCTCCAAGCACAGCTCATGGCACACACACAATCACACACACACACACAAGGCAAAAACGGCAAAAAAAAAAGAGGTTGATCACAAAACGAATTGCCTGCCGGCTGCTGCTTTGTCAGCAAAGGAACCCGGCCAGGGATGGAGGGAGGGGCAACTAACTGTCACGTGACCACCACTCCCGGACACTGCGACCGTCATAAGTATGAGTCAGTGGCCAAGCGCCTGAATGGTGATTGGGTGACCCTGAGGATGTGTAGGTGTGAAAAACGCCCCCAAGTCACTTTAATAATAATAATAATAATAATAATAATAATAATAATAATAATAATAATAATAATAATAATAATAATAATAATAATAATAACAACAACAACAACAACAACAAACAACAAAACAACATAATGATGATGATGATGATGATGATGATGTTGGAAGGGACCTTGGAGGTCATCTAGTCCAACCCCCTGCTCAGGCAGGAGACCCTAGGCCATTTCGGACAAATGGCTGTCCAGTCTCTTCTTAAAAACTTCCAGTCTTGGAGCATTCACTGCTTCTGGAGGCAGGTGGTTCCACTGGTTATTTGTTCTCACTGCCAGGAAATTTCTCCTTAGTTCCAGGTTGCTTCTCTCCTTGGTAATAATAATAATAATAATAATAATAATAATAATAATAATAATAATAATAATAATAATGATAAAGTTGGAAGGGACCTTGGAGGTCATCTAGTCCAACCCCCTGCTCAGGCAGGAGACCCTAGGCCATTTCAGACAGATGGCCGTCCAGTCTCTTAAAAACTTCCAGTGTTGGAGCATTCACCGCTTCTGGAGGCAGGTTATTCCATTGGTTAATTGTTCTGTCAGGAAATTTCTCCTTAGTTCCAGGTTGCTTCTCTCATTGGTAGTAGTAATAATAATAATAATAATAATAATAATAATAATAATAATAATAATAATAATAATAATAATAATAATAATAATAATAATAATAATATAATAATGATAAAGTTGGAAGGGACCTTGGAGGTCATCTAGTCCAACCCCCTGCTCAGGCAGGAAACCCTATACCATTTCGGACAAATGGCTGTCCAGTCTCTTCTTAAAAGCCTCCAGTGTTGGAGCATTCGCCGCTTCTGGAGGCCTTTGTAACCAAACGGTCCCTAAATGAATCATTGTTAAGTGGAGGACTTCCCATGTTGTTCGCCCTCTGATGGGGCACCTGCTGGGGAGGGTCGTCCCGGGGAGCGGAGGGGGGGTCCCTCCTGGCCACCCGCTCTCCTCCTCCGTCCCTCTCTTCTGCTTCCAGCCAGCGGGTGCTGGGCGTGGTGCACAGCGCCGGCCTGGGCGACCCAGGCCCCGTGAGGGGGTCCCTGGCGCTGTGCCTGCTGCTAGCCTGGGCGGTCATCTTCGTCTGCAGCCTGAAGGGCATCCGCAGCTCGGGCAAGGTGAGTGAGCCAGTGGGGGGAGTCCGGGCTCGGGGCCACCGTGCCCTGGCCAAGGGGGCAACAAGGGGAGCCCCTCCCTGGCCTTTCCCTGGGGGGCCCCTGCCGGGCTCCGGCTGCGTCCGGGGTGCTTCTTCCTTTCAGCCGCCGCCCTGCTGTCTCCCTGTCTCCCAGATTGTGTACTTCACTGCCACCTTCCCCTACGTGGTGCTCGTGGTGTTGATCATCCGGGGAGCCACGCTGGAGGGCTCCCTCGAGGGCATCCGCTTCTACCTCTCCGCAGACTGGAGCCGGCTGCAGAGCGCCCAGGTGCGCCCACGGGCAGAATGGCCTTCTCCAATTGAGGGGGGGACCCAGGGGGGCCCACCCATCCTGGGCAATCGGGATGCTGGTCCTGGATGGACCGGGATCTCTGAGGCGGGATGGGGGCACCTCGGCAGGAACAGACAGAGGGGGTCTGGTGCGCATGGGGCTCCTTGTCCTGCCCTCTCATGGGGAGGCTTCTGGGGAAGGTGGGCCAGATGAGAAGGAGGCCCAACCCTTGACAGCCCAGCCCCACCCTGGGCATTTTATACTGGCTGGATTTCAACCTCCGGTAAGCCATGGTGTCTTAGCCGTGTCTGATGGAATAAACGCACAAGATCCAAGAGCAAACCACCAATGTGTGCTTACAAATCAGAGCCTTCTAAGGGTGTGACTGCACTCTCTGGCCTGCTTTGCAGGTGACATTAAGCCATGGGTTGACTAACAATGGCTTAGAAGAGAATATTTGTAGCTCAGCATTAGAGTTCTTGATGCTCTCTGAGCCTCCTGGTTTTCTTGCAGACGTTTCCTGACCCAGCTAGGGAACATCAACAGAGGGAGCATCACCATTAGCCCTGATGATGTTCCCTAGCTGGGTCACGAAACGTCTGCAAGAAAACCACCCAGCTCAGAGAGCACCAAGGACCCCACAGATCTTCCTTCCTCCCTCCCTCCCTTCCTTCCTTTCCTCCCTCCCTCCCTTCCTTCCTCCTCCTCCCTTCTAGCACTGATGATGTTCCCTAGCTGGGTCACGAAACGTCTGCAAGAAAACCACCCAGCTCAGAGAGCACCAAGGACCCCACAGTCTGTCCTTCCTTCCTTCCTTCCTTCCTTCCTTCCTTCCTTCCTTCCTTCCTTC